CCTACTGCTGCTGGAGCTGCTGGGGGTTCTGGAGCCACTCGTCCTGGAGGTGCTGGAGCTGCTAGGCCTGGTGGTGCCACTGGTGCTGGAGCTACTGGTGTTGCTGGACCTGCTGGAGCTGCTGGTGGTGTTGCTGGGGCTCGAGCTACTAGATGTGCTGCTAGAGCTGCTGGTGGTGTTACTGGTGCTGGTGCTGTTCCTGCTGGTTCTGGGGGTGCTGAGCGGCCGCGGCTGTACTTCGTTCCACTCCTTGAGCAGGTTCTTGGTCTCCCGCCTTCTACTGGTCCTGCCCCTTCCTCCGAGTGTCCACCGCCTGTCCAGTCACCGTCACAACTACAGCCCGCCTCCCCACTGCCTGCTCCTTCTCCTTACACTGGTCCGACTGGAGGTCTTGCTGAGCGTCGTGAGCCTGCGTCTTGCCCTGCGTCGCCCGTTCGTGCTGCTCGCACTAGTGGTCTTGGTTTGCGTCAGCGTCCTCCTCCTGTCCCAGGCACGCACCGGATGACTCTGCGTCCTTCCACTGCTCCGCAGCATGTCCCTCTGCCGTCTCCTCCTGAGTCCTCTCTTCCTGCCCTTGCTGACCTGGAGTCTGACTCCCTTCATGCTGCTAGTCCTACTGTCACGCGTCTCCTTACCACTGTTGTCACTGACCCTTCCTTTGAGTCTGCTGCTGCGTCTGCTCTAGTTGCTGAGCTTGTCGACTTTGCTGCTCGCTGTCGTCTACACTACGTTGCTAGTCTTGTTGCTGAGTCTGAGTCTGTCTGTCCTCCGTCCGTCGGGGGTGAGTGTGCCCTTGGCACGGACGTCCTTGAGGACAGGCAGGAGGAGTTCCAGTGTTTGGCTGCTGCTTCACCTCATCTCGCGTCCATGCTGCTTACCCCTGAGGGAGACCCGGATGCACTAGATATTTCAAGGCGGTTGAGGGTCCCTACTCCTCTCAGTGGCAGGCAGCCATGGACGCAGAGATGGCTTCCTGGAAGTCCACAGGCACCTACGTCGACGAGGTTCCCCCACCTGGGGCGAACATTGTCGATGGCATGTGGATCTTCAGGGTGAAGCGGCCGCCGGGTTCTCCGCCTGTCTTCAAGGCGCGTTACGTGGCTCGTGGCTTCAGTGAGCGGCAGGGAGTTGACTAATTTTAGACCTTCTCTCCCACCCCAAAGATGACCACTCTTTGGGTACTGCTGCACGTTGCTGCTCAGCGTGACTACGAGCTTCACTCTCTTGACTTAAGCACAGCCTTTCTACAGGGCAGCCTGCACGAGGGGATCTGGCTGCGCCGCCCACCTGGCTTCACTGGGTCGTTTCCTCCTGGTACCCAGTCCAGCCTCCGGCAGCTAGTCTACGGTCTCCGCCAGGCACCTCGTGAGTGGCACGACACACTGAGGACTACACTGGTGGCCCTTGGGTTTGCTCCTTCTACTGCTGACCCGTTGCTGTTTCTACGCACCGACACTTCGCTGCCACCGTTCTACATCCTCGTGTACGTCGACAACTTGGTTTTTGCCACTGCTGACACTGAGGCACTGACTCTAGTGAAGTCGGAGCTGCAGAAGAGACACACGTGCAGAGACCTGGGTGAGCTGCGCAGCTATCTTGGCTTGCAGATCACTCGGGACAGAGCACACCGCACCATCACCCTGACTCAGTCACACATGGTGCAGCAGGTCCTTCAGCGCTTCGACTTCCAGTACTCCTCGCCACAGTCCACTCATCTGCCTACCGGTCACTCGCTCTCAGCTCTGCCTTCGGATGAGTCCGTAGAGCCGAGTGGCCCGTATCCAGAGCTTGTGGGCTACCCGCTCGTCTTCTGTTCTCAGCTCCAGTTGTGAGGCTGAGATCTACGCAGGGGCCATGGCTGTACAGGAGCTGCGTTGGCTCACCTACTTGCTGACCGACCTGGGCGAGGCGCCTCGTTCTCCTCCAGTTCTGTACGTCGACAACAAGGCAATGCTTGCCTTGTGTCGTGAGCAGAGACTGGAGCACAGAACGAAGCACATCGCTCTTCGCTACTTTCTTGCTCGAGAGTTGCAGCAGCGTGGTCAGCTACGTCTTGTCTACGTGGCCTCTCAGGCCAACACTGCTGATATCTTCACCAAGGCACTTCAGCCTTGTGATCATCAGCGGTTCTGTACTGTTTAGGGCTTGTTCCCACTTTGCCTCACTTGCTCACTTCTTGACTTTACTTTTACTGTGATCTCTATATATACCTACCTGCTTACACTTGCTAGGTTGTGATCACTGTGTTGCTTGTTCACCTTGATTTATAATCCTGCATGTGAACAGGCCTTTTGGCCTCTTGCTTGTGCTCAGAATGTGTGGTGACATCGTGATCCACCCTGAGCTTGCTTTGCTCCTCTTGACTGGTCTTGTGACCTGTTGTTCTCCCCCACTTTGCCTATGGGGGTGTGTCAAAACATATATGCTGTAGTCTTTGTAGGCTATAGTGGGGTAGATACTATGGGGTACAACACTTTTAGATTTCATACTTGTACCCAACTCTTCCTTAGTCATTTTCATTCCTCGCTAGTTTTCTCACAGACGCATGTCTACAGTAGTCACAACATGAACTGTACAAGAATGTCAAATGTTGATATTTGTGATAGGCTGTAGTGTGGTGCTCCTTAGTGAGTACAAGCATGTTAGGGTTTCCTATTTCTACTCCAACTCCTTTCTAGTCAAACATTCCGTTGCATTCCTACTTTGAGATGGTGTTGGAGCTGGAGGTGCAGCCGCTGGCGGTGCTCGGTCTGGGGGTGCTCGTTCGCGGGGTGCTGGAGCTGGAGGTGCTGGCGCAGGTGGCGCTAGCTCTGGGGGTGCTGGAGCTGGAGGTGCTGGCACTGGAGGTGCTAGTTTAGGGGGTGCTGGAGTTGGAAGTCCTGACACTGGAGGTGCTGGTTCTGGGGGTGCCGGTGCTGGAGGCGCTGGCACTGGAGGTGCTGGTTCTGGGGGTGCTGGTGCTGGAGGCGCTAGCACTGGAGGTGCTGGTTTTGAGGAGACTGGAGCTGGAGACACTGGTTCTGCGGAGTCCACTCCGCCTCCCCACCGCCACGACACGCGTCTCCAGGCGGCCCGACAGCGTGAGCGTGAGGAGCAGGTGTTGTTGGAGAGGGAGCGGCAGGAGTTGCGGCGGTTGGACCTGCTGGAGCAGCAACACTAGCAGCCGCCACAGCAGCAGCATACACCGCCGCTGCAGCTGCGACTGCATCAGCTCCCTCTGGAGCGGCAGTTGTTCCCACCCGTGAGTGGCCTTTGGGCCCTTGGTCTTCCCTCCTCTCATCCTATTCACACTCCGTCCCCTCCAGCGTTTGGTCCCACGTTTCCTCCTCCTGACGCCAGTCCGGCGGTCTGGTCTTCTCCTCCACTGCAGTCTCCTCCACCTGTTGTCCCGCACTTCCGTGTCCGTCCCTGTCCTCCGCATGCTCGTCACTTGTCTCCCGTTTCTGACCTCCGCACGGCCCTCCTTTGTTCGTCTCTTCGTCGTCCTCCTCCTGAGTCTGTTCTCACGTCTCCTCCTCCGTCCTCTCTCCCTTTCCCCCCTACTCCTGTCACTGACTACAACCATGCAGGTTGTCCTGTAGTTCCTTGTGTCCTCGCCACTCTTGTCACCGACTCTCGTTTCCCTCCGTCGTCTGTCTCGGCTCTCACTGCCGCTGTCGCTGAGTTTGCTGCCGCCAGTCACCTTGACTTTACCACCACTGTGGTGCCAGCTCCTCCCTCCCGTCCTCTGTCCGTTGGGGGTGAGTTTGCCCTTGGCTGTGACGTCCTAGAGGACAGAGAGTCTGAGCTGGAGTACTGGGCAGCCGCTTCTCCCTCTGTCTGTGCTATGCTGCTATCCCCTGAGGGAGACCCCGACGCCCTTGACATACCGACTCCTCACACCTACCGCGAGGCAGTGTCAGGGGCGTGGGCCTCACAGTGGAAAGCGGCTATGGCCTCGGAGTTAGCGTCTTGGAGATTCACAGGCACCTACGTCGACGCAGTTCCCCCTCCCAGGGCGAACGTAGTCGATGGCATGTCGCTCTTCGTGAAGCGGCCGCCTGGTTCACCGCCTGTGTTCAAGGCGCGCTACGTGGCTAGGGGTTTCAGTCAGTGTGAGGGGGTTGACTTCTTCCAGACCTTCGCCCCAAGCCCGAAGATGACTACTCTTCGGGTGTTACTGCACGTAGCAGCACAGCGAGACTACGAGCTGCACTCTCTTGACTTCTCTACTGCATTTCTCCAGGGCCGGCTACACGAGGACATCTACCTGCGCCGCCCTCCTCGCTTCACTGACACCTTCCCACCTGGGACATAGTGGAGCCTGAGACGGCCAATCTACGGTCTTCGTCAGTCGCCCCGTGAGTGGCACGGCACTCTTCGCTTCACGCTTCGTGACCTTGGGTTTTGTCCTTCCTCTACGGACCCGTCGCTGTTTGTTCGCACTGGTTCCACTCCTTTCACTATACTAGTGTATGTCGATGACTTGGTATTTGCCACAGCAGACAGGGCTGCTCTAGCTCAGGTGAAGTCCGAACTGCAGAAGAGACACAAGTGCACTGACCTAGGTGAACTGCAGCGCTACCTTGGCCTGCAGATCACCAGGGACAGAGCCGCTCGCACCATCACACTGACTCAGTCACACATGGTGCAGCAGGTCCTTCGGCGGTTCGACTTCCAGTTCTCCACCACACAGCCCACACCTCTTGCTGTTGACCACAGACTCACTGGCCCCTTTCCGGACGAGCCGTTTGAGTCCAGTGGTCCGTACGCAGAGTTGGTGGGCTGCCTCATGTACCTGATGACTTGTACTCGGCCGGACCTCGCATTTCCCCTCAGCATACTTGCTTGCTTTGTTGCGACTGGGAGACACCGTCCTGTCCACTGGACAGCTGCTGTGAGGGTGGCGAAGTACCTGGCGACTACATCACAAACGAGAGAACAAACTGGGCAGTATGGACTGCCACGAGCTGCGCTGGCAGCGGACGTACTCGTGTCGGGAAATACCGCCGTCGCGGAGGATGCGCTCGCAGGAGCGAGGAAGATCGGTGGAGAGGTCGCCAAGAAGGGCGGCGGACCGCGTGGATCTGCACGTTGAAGGGCGTCGAGATGGAGGCGAGGACGATCTGCACGCGGGATCGGAGCCCAGCCTTCAACCGTCCATCAGCGGCCCTTGGAATCTGGCACGCGGCCATCAAGGAGGGGGTGGAATGCGTCGGGACGACGCGGACGTGGTGGACTCATCGGATTCGGCAAGCGAGGCCGACGGCGAGCAAGAAGCAGAACAGATCTCGATGACGCGGGATGGTGAGAAGGAAGAAGTCGCGGAGGAAGAGCGCGACGAAGGGAGCAAAGGCGCAGGCGAAAACGGATCGCCGGTAGGGATGCGCGGAGGCGGCGCGAAACAGCGCGGGACCGCGAGTGCAGGTCGCACGCCAGAGGAGGTGCGCGGGAGTGGCGCGGGGCGCCAGGGGAACCGCGCGGATGCAGATCGCGCGCCAGAGGAGGTGCGCGGGAGTGGCGCGAGGCGCCAGGGGAGCCGCGCGGATGCAGATCGCGCGCCAGAGGAGGTGCGCGGGAGTGGCGCCTGCGCGAGGCGCCAGGGGAGCCGCGCGGATGCAGATCGCGCGCCAGAGGAGATGCGCAGAAGTGGCATGAGGCGTCGCGGGAACATGGCGGCAGATCACGCGGCAGCTGGGCGTCGAGAAGATGAGGGTGGATGTCATGAACCCGCGGAAGCGTATCGCTTGCCCGAGCCAAGGCAAGGCCATGAGAGGAGGAGGCGCATGGCGATGGGCGGATGGCGATCGCCGGAGAGGCAGGAAGAGTTTGCAGAAGAAGATTATGAGGAAAGGCGCGAGCTGCGCTTGCCAGCACGGGGGCGGAGTCACCAGGGGGAGGCGCGGGTGAGGAGTGGTGACCGTTCGTCGCCAGGCACCTCGGGAGCAGATGCAAGAGTGAGCAGGGAAGGAAGGGAAGTGCACCCACGAGGGCAGAGGCTGCGAAGGATTTGGCGAAGAGGCAAGGAGGCGACAAGAGAGAGAGGGACGAATCAGGAAGGGCGAGGGAGAACGCTATCGCCGGGAGCTATCACCTGGCGAGGAGGCTGGAAGAGAGGACCATAGCCGCCAAGAATGGGGAGAGCAGGAGAGGCGTCGCAGGGAATATTCGCCTAAAAAGGAAGACGGGCAGAGGGGAAGTTCAGAAAGGCGAAGGGAGGCGTATGAGAATGAACGGGGAAGAAGCCCAAGTCCGGTGTGGCATAGGAGGCCGCAGCAGTCATGGGAGGGCTCTAGGGAAGCGAGGGCGGCCAGAGAGGGCATCAACCGCATCCTGTATGGGACAGGAGAGAGGGGTAGGGAGACAAGGAAAGCAGCTGAAGAGATGAAAGGGAGAAAGAGAGGGGAAGAAACGAGGGGGAGAGGTGAGGGAGAGCGCAAAGTAAGGGAGAAGTTGAGGGGAGGAGAGAGCGAAGGTGGAAAAGAGTGGTTCAGACAAGAGCACCAGCGAAGTGGTGAGGGGAAGCATCACCGACAGGGATTCCGCCCTGATGAATAGGAAAGGTTCAAGGAGGGGCAGGAAAGTCAGAATACAGTACGGGAAAGGATGAGGAGAAGCCCGAGTTCAGATAGGCACGATAGGCCATGGGGGGCGGGGGGAAGCTTAGCAGGAGCAAGAGCGGCCAGAGAAAGTATGGAGCAGGTGCTGTATGATGCAAGGGAGAGGAGCAAGGGATCGGAAGCGTGGGGCAGAAGGAACAGTCAGACGGGCAGAGGGGTGTCGGTGACATGGGAGACGGGGGGGTGGAGCGCCATGGAGCTGCCAAAGGTGGAGGTGCCTGTCAGGTTCACAGGGAACGCGGGGACAGGGAAGGGACTTAAGAATTATCTCATGCAGATAGGAGCGGGATGGATCCAATTGAGTTCTTTCTAAGCTTATCCAATACCTTGGGAGGAGATGCAGAGACGCTGTACCGGATGAAGATGACGGAATGGCTGAGACGGGCGGAGGAGGATGACGAGGACCCGACCTCGTTGTTCCTGGAGCGGCTAAGGAATCAATTCCCTGGGCACACGGCTGACAGGATAAGAGAGTTTCAAGAGTTTAGGCGAGGGGAGAGGGAGTCACTGCTAACGTACTTCGGAAGGTTGGTTAACTTGGCAGAAGACGTGGTATGCACAGACAGCAGCATGCTAATTAGTAAGTTCTTGGGCGGCCTGAATGAAGGGCTGAATGGTGGGTTGCGTATGCGAGTGTATGAGTTGGGGGCGGAAGCGGTGCTAGAGGATGTGTTTGAGTTGGCAGAGAAGGTTGAGCTGGCACAGATGCGGTATGAGGCATACTTGCCGAGGTGTTTGAGAAGAGATAGCCCACGTGGGCTACAGCGATGATACCTGAGCACGGGGACAGGGAGGAGCAGTGGCAGGAGAAGCGACCAGAGTCACGTACGTGCCACAGGTGCGGGCAGGTAGGGCATATCCAGAGAGACTGCAAGAACTGTGATGTATGCGGAAGGCCCGGACACCGTCAAAAAGACTGACCGAACGCACCGGCCTGTGAGGAGTGTGGAAAAAGGGGGCATCAGGGAGCAGGTGGACCAAAGAGGTCACCCGGGAAAATTGAGGGCGAGATCGGAAGGTTAAAAGCCCAACTCCAGGCACTGGGGGGAAGGACAGAAAGGACGGAAGGGGAGGAGGAGGAAGAGGAGCAGAAGCCTGAGCAGTCTTTTGCGGTGCTACGTGGCCATGAAGACATGAGGCTGTGCAGTGGGGGCAGGGAGGGACGAAGGGAGCAGGTGCGTAGGGTGGGGGCATGGGCGTGTATGTTAGTAACACCAGCAGCAGCGGTAGCGGAGGAACGGGACGAGCAGGTGGGGGCAGAACCATGTGTACCAGCAGCAGCGGTAGCGGAGGAACGGGACGAGCAGGTGGGGGCAGAACCGTGTGTACCAGCAGCAGCGGTAGCGAAGGAACAGGACGAGCAGGTGGGGGCAGAACTGAGTGCACCAGCAGCAGCAGTAGCACAAGGCAAGAACGAGAAGGTGGGGGATTGGTCGGGTGTACGAGTGGTAACGGAAGCGGAAGGGAAGGAAGGGAAGGTGGGGGCACAGGAGGGCATGCCAGCAATAGCGGAAGCGGAAAGCAAGGTAGAGAAGGTGGGGGCACAGGCGTGCGCACCAGATGTAGCAGAAGCGGAAGGGAGGGACGAGAAGTTGAGAGCACAGGCGTGCGTACCAGCAGCATCGGAAGCGGAAGGGAAGAACGAGAAGGTGGGGGTATGGGCAATTGCTCCAATGACAGCGAGATCGGAGGGGAAGGAAGGGAAGGTGGGGACACAGGCGTGCACATCAGTAGTGGCAAAAGCGGAAGGTAAGGATGAGGGGATAGAGGCACGGGCATGTGTAGCAGCAGTAGCAGAAGCAAAAGGGAGGGTCGAGAAGGCGAGGGTCAGGGAGGGTGGACCAGCCGAAATGGTGAGCAACTGGTGGCAAAGGGAGCTACGGGTCGCAGGGTGGGAAGGGCCTGTATGGGACAAGGCCCAGGAGCTGAAGGAAGAAGAGAGGGAGGGTGAGGAACTAGGGGCAGGTGCGAGTATGCCAGGGGAGGAAGAAGCAGAACGTATAACGGGAGATGTGATGAGGCAGGATGGAAAACAGGCCATGGCGACAGTGAGGTGGATTAAGAGAGAAACATGGGAAGATGAACCGATGCCGCTAGCAACCCAGATGCGGATAGAACCAGTGGGAATGGACGAGGCTGAGAACTGGGTGACATGGGAGGGAGTCAAGGCAGCAGGATACCTGAAGGAAGAGATACAGGCAGCGGTAGAGGACCTGCATACAGTGCAATTGAGGAAGGCGTGCAGCTATGAGCAGCGGCAGCAGCAGGGCGGCAAGAAGGACAAAGGGAGCAGTAGGAGTAGGACAGGAAGTCTACCTCCGGGGACAGAAGGATACTCTGGAAGCGGCGCCGCGCACGCAGAGAAGGAAGGCGACGGATCTGAGGGGTGCGGAAGTGCTAAGCCAAAGCATGAGCGAGGAGAGGTGGCAGGGGATCACCATTACTGCAGTGGTGAGAAGTACCCCGGCCTCAGCAAGAGTGTCCAGTGCCTCGTGCATGGGAGACCCGAGCATGAGCTCTGGAGGGGGCAGGTATGGGCTGAGGCAGAGAAGAGAAGCTATCACAGGGACAAGGCAGAGAGAAGGAGGGAGGGTGGATGAGTGCTGGGAGGAGAAGGCAGGCCATGGGAGGCAACAGAGGGTGGATCTCCGACAGCTGTCACAGAATATAATGTAGGAGCATTATATTCTGTGACATTGCTAATGAGTTGTAGCGTGGTGTAGATTGTGTTATGCAATTTGGATTCTGGGGTGGTTGGGACATTGGAGACTGCGCGAAGCTGGTAACATTGGAAGTTGCGGATCACAGCTGAGAAGAATTCAAGGACCTCGGGGGACAGGAAATCGGCAAGGGCCAATCCAGAGCCCAGGCGACTCGATTACTACTAGAGTACATCGCGACAGTGGGAGCATGCTTAAGTAGCTTAGCCTACCATCGATACGCTTGTTCTCTCGTTTGTTTGCTCGTTATAGTGAATTAAGGTTACCGTTTGACAGCTAACTCCTGCTTAGGTAACTAGGCCACTGTGGGCAGCCATTCGTGGGGGAGTCAGAATCTCTCACAAACGAGAGAACAAACTGGGCAGTATGGACTGCCACGAGCTGCGCTGGCAGCGGACGTACTCGTGTCGGGAAATACCGCCGTCGCGGAGGATGCGCTCGCAGGAGCGAGGAAGATCGGCGGAGAGGTCGCCAAGAAGGGCGGCGGACCGCGCGGATCTGCACGTTGAAGGGCGTCGAGATGGGCGCAGGGACAAGGCAGAGAGAAGGAGGGAGGGTGGATGAGTGCTGGGAGGAGAAGGCAGGCCATGGGAGGCAACAGAGGGTGGATCTCTGACACTCACGGGACACGCACTAAATCTTGTGTGCAGCGTCCTTCAAGCCAAGAAAGCCGTCAAGGAAGGTGTCTTCACTAGCCGTTGCTGATTGGCAATATGGCCTTGCCGAGGAGATTGCGTCGTCGGCTTTGATGCTCCCTAGTTATTTTCAGAAAGTCCCTTGTGTGCCCGTGGTAGAGATAGAAAGAACTGTCATGTGCACCGCATGATCTATGTGGTGAGACACTTTAGTTTGAAAGACTGAAGCAAAAAAATCCTAACCATTTTCATTTGCATTTGTGAGCGATAACGAACTGTCGGAAATTCTCTCTCCCATGCCCTCTCCCTTGCCCCTTCCTGATGCCACTTTCCCTCCTCGTCAGATCCTCTCCTGTGAATCCTGTGTTCCCTCCTCTCTTTGCTTTTAGGGCCCTTGTATCTGCTTTGGGCATTGTCTCCCCCCCACTCTGTCTCTTCACTTAGCAGATCTGACAATGTCTCGTGGCCTGGGTCAATTAGCTCGGCTGACTGCTGCTTGAACTGGCTTCCCTAGCTGGAGTTTTGGAGAAGTTCTTACCTAATGGGGAAAACATACAAGCAAGCAATTTGCAATGGTCTCTCTGCTCTGCTAAGTATTGTGTTGGCACTTACTGTTGCCTTGCCAACCGTTGTCTCTGGCTTAGGGTTCCCGCTCCTCTCGGTTTTCCTTCCGGATTGTTCCCGCCTAGCTATTTTTATCCTCGATACAGTGACCTATCTATACTATTCTGTCACACAATTATATCAAGGTTCCTTATCCTACTTATTCTATTGCTGCCTTTATTAATTGCGTGACAGCTGTCGGAAATTCTCTCTCCCATGCCCTCTCCCATGCCCCTTCCTGATGCCACTTTCCCTCCTCGTCGGATCCTCTCCTGTGAATCCTGTGTTCCCTCCTCTCTCTGCCTTTAGGGCCCTTGTATCTGCTTTGGGCATTGTCTCCCCCCCCCCTCTGTCTCCTCACTTGCCCCCTCCTCGGCCTCTCGCTCCTGGGTTGGCCGATGGATCCTTGTTCCTTCCCCCAGAGAGATCTGCTGCGTGGGTTCCGGCGCTTCCCCTTTCCTCGCGTCTGGGCCTGGCCACTGCCACATTGGTCACATGATCCTTCCTCTCCTCTCCCTTGGCACTTGCCAGCACAATCACTCCTGACTCCTTCACCTCCTTCACTCTCCACTGCTCTGTACTCAGACCTATATCCATGAGGTCTTTCCTGGCCTGCTTCAGATACACCTCCCTCCCTGGTAGGACTCTGGACGTCCCCGTTCCCCCTTGTCTTGCCCCTCTCTGCTTGTACCTCTACACGTCTCGCAGCTGCGCCACGTGGAGGTTCTCGGTATTTCGCTCTGGCTTCTGCCACCGCTACCCACATCTCCTCCGTGCCCACCATCACGGTGTCTGTCAGCAGCTTAGGCGCATCTATGGGCAAGATAGGTTCCCTTCCTAGCATGAGGTAGTAGGGCGACATTCCCGTACTTGCTTCCGCATTCCTGCCCACCACCAGGTGGTTCCCACTAACTGCAGTGTTCTCACCTCCCCGTAGTGCCCCAGCTGGCGGTGCACTTGCACGATGATACCCTCTCTCTGCCCTGGGGTCGGCACGACTTTCCATCCTTCCTTCGTATTCACCTGCAGCTGTTCTTGGTACCATCTGTAGTGAGCTCCCCTCGCTCTCACTCGCTCTGGCACATCACCTTCCTCCCCCGTCTTCCCTTGCACCCACTGCAGTACGTCTGAGTCCTCCCACATATCTTCGGGCCCCCTCCCCTTGCCCTTTCTCGCTCCTTCTTGGTCTATCTGCCGAGCCATCGCCACCAGGGACTCCGTAGGCCTGGGTTCCTTGAGAGCCCATCCACGTGTTGCATATTCTTGCTGGGCCTGTGCTTGATAGTGAAATCGTACTCTTGTAGCCGCATGGCCCACCTGGCGTTCCTTCCCGTAAGTCCTTGATTCGTCATCAGCCAAGTCAACGGCTGATGATCGGTCACCAGCGTAAACGGTCTCCCTTGTAAGTACACGCGGAAGTGGGTGATGGCCCAAACAGCTGCCAATCCTTCCCCCTCGTAGGAGCTGTAGTTCGCCTCCGAGGGGTTGCAGCTACGGCTTGCGAATGCCACTACCCTTTCTTCTCCCTCCTTTTCCTGGCAGAGGATTGCCCCCATCCCTGCGCTACTCCAGTCAGTGCACAGTATGAGCGGGTCCTCTTTGCTGGGTAGGGTGAGTACTGCTGCCGACTTCATGGCCCGTGTCAGCTGCGTCAGTGTCTTCTGCTCTTCCTCCCCCCACTGCCACTTCTGCTCCTCTCTCAGCAGCTTGTTCAGCACAGCTGCGGTTTTGCTGAAGTTCGGTACGAATCTTCTGTAGTACCCCAAGAACCACAGCACTGCGCGGAGGGAGGACCTGTCCGTAGGGGTGGGTACTCAGTCCAGAACCTCCACCTTCGCCTCCTGCACTCCCAGCTTCTCGTCTCCCACTTCAAACCCCAGGTATTGCACCGTTCTCTGTCCGAACTTGCATTTGTAAGGGTGGCAGGTCAATCCTGCTGCCTTGATGGCGTCTAGGGTGGCTTGTACGTCCTTCACGTGTTCCTCCTCTGAAGCACTGAAGACTATCACGTCGTCTATGTAGCAAGCGGCGGCTGGCACTCCCCGCAGCACGGTGTCCATGGTGCGCTGGAACACTGCTGCCGCATTCCTCGTGCCAAAAGGCATGACCTTCCACTCGACAGTCCGTCTGGGCCATGGAACGCGGTCTTCTTGCGGTCCTCCTCCTTGATGACTATCTGGTTGAAGCCTTGCCTGAGGTCCAGAGTGAAGAACACCACCGCGCCGTGCAGCTTGTCGAATATTTCCTCCGCCGACTGCATCGGGTATCTATCAGGCACGGTCACCTTGTTCAGGCCTCGATATTCTCCGCACATGCGTTTAGCCGAGACGTCGCCCGTAATGTCAGTCCTGGCAGCCACTACTGTCGCTGCCGCGTAGTCGCTTTCAGACCTCTGGATCAGCCCCGCCTCTAACAGCTCCTGGCACTTGGCCATGCACACCTCCACGTCTCCCGGGCTCATTCTCCGCTTGCGCTGGTACACCGGCGCCTCGCTGGTTAAGGCTATGCGCATCTCCTGCACGGTGCATCTACCGAGCTCCTTCAGCGTGAATGCGAACGTGCCCCTGTGCTCTTGCAGAACTTTCCTCAGCTCCACTGCAACGGCTGCCCCCAGCCCTTCGCCGACCTCCCACTCCGCCTCCCCTGCTCCTTCCGCCTTCTGCCCTCCCTTCCTTGCTTGTCCGGCCTCCTCAGTGCCAGCTCTCTGCTCCGTTTCTACCGCCATGAACGTCCATCCCTCCATCATCCTCTCTACCCGGTGTGCCTCTATGCTCTCTAGCTGTTGCCTCCTCCACGCTGCTTCCCTCTCATCCTGGTATCGCAGGCTGCCGTCCAGCTCCCTCTGCACAGCCTTCGTCTTGGGGTGCATGCGTATGGTAGAGAGAGGAGGGAACACATACCACTACTCAATCCTGCTCAGCCACACATACCCAACGGGTTGTCGCCTGTTGAAGAGTAAAATCGCAGCTCACGGGCTATTATTGCCGCTATTTCCGCTCGAATATATGTTCGCAGCTTGCAACGATTCTTCTTTTCCAAGCCAGCAAACCCGGCTGCAATGAGTAGTAGCAGTATTGGCGGTGGCGGTGCAATCCGCTGTTCGCCAAGTCGCTTCAGTAACCATTTCGCGATTCCAAACGCGCCCCCGCTCTCTTCCATACCCGATCGTGTTTGTTTCGCGAACAGCCGTGTCGAATCGTCTTCCTCCGCGTACACCGTTTTCAACCGCGGTAACTCGATAACAGCGTAAAGAATAGGCTGCGCCTCCGTGCAGCAAGGGGACAGTTCACATACGTGCTACCAGAATCATCCGTCACTTTTATTGACGCGGCGTGCAACAGCCATCAGTCCCTGCTGCGACTCGAGAAATGTCTCCGCGAATTGCGCTGGGTTCGCGCGAGAAAGCATAGATACTGTAACGTATTGCCCTAACAACTGCCTAGCAATCTAACTTCTCCCTAGTTAAATGTCGAGAGTTCTCTCGACAAAGAGAGAGTTGGAGAAGATGGTTGAGTTGGTTGGGATGAAACTTGGTTTGGGTTTGCCAAGCCTCAACTTTGGAGGCTTGAAACTTTTCCAACTCAACCAAGAGAATATTGAGGGTTGGATTTCCAACCAATCACAAACTGCCAGTTCAATGTTACAATCTACTCAATCTAAAATGCAACCATACAATGGTGCAAAGTTGGGTTTTCCAACCCAACCTGATTGCCACATAGGCTTCTAGCCTAGGAACCATCCCACCATGGAAGCCATGGTTGGGAGGGTTCCCCCAAGAGGTGTATTGAGGGGGTTTGAGCTACCAAGCTCATTCTTCACCTCCCACTCCAACTAATCAATTGGAAATGGGATTGTTTCTCTAAGCCCCTTTTGGCTCTCTCACACAACTTCCTACACAATTCTCTCAAGCCATTTCAACAACTCCTTCAAGAAGATTGACACCTCCAAGGCTATTGGGAGCTAGTTAAAGCTTCAACTTGTATTGGGATTTATTATAATATCTTGTAAACTCATTATAATAGCCTTGGGTGTTACATTGGTATCTAGAGCAAGGTTCTTCCTTGGCCTTGTGTGGCTATTTGCTACTTGTATTATTTTTTTTAAGAGGATCCTAGCTTGTGGATCTAGGATTTTATCCAAGGAGCAGTGAAGATTTTGAAGAAATTTCAAGATCTACAAAAGCATCTTCAAGATCTACATCTTCAAACTTCAACTTCTTCAAACCACCATTGGAGCTACAAGATCTACAAGGAGCTCCTCTTCTTCATCAACATTGTGACGAAATTTGAAGAGAAATTTATTTTCTCTTACCCACCTTTTGGTGGAAGACTCTAATCTACCTTTGGTAGAAGAGTGTATCTTTAGATCTACAAGGACTTGTTGAGGATTACTCTCTTGAGTATATCTTGCTCTATCATTGAGGTGATAGAGAGATTTAGCAAACAAGTCAATCTTAAGTGATTATGTATTGGATTATTCTATAAGACTAATCAGATTTCTTAAAGATTATTATAAGATCTGTTGAGATCTCCTCTCCTTAACATGTTTCATGGCTTCTGGTCAAGAGATGGATGCTACTAAGGAGGTGCCCATTGCTGGCAATGAGGGAGATAATGCTGCTACTGCTGCTGACATTGATCTCAACCTTGAGGACTTCGTGGTTGACATGGAGATCAATGGAAGTGAAGCTGGCCTTGAGGCTGATGCTGAAAATGGGGATGAGGCTGGCTCTGATGAGGGTGTCTCTAACGAGACTGAGAACATTGCTGGGAAACTCCAGACTCAACTCACAGAGAATAATCTTCTCATTAGAGAGGAGCAGTGCCGCATCCAGAACTTGGAGGCTGATTCTGTCAAGCTTCAGGCCTTGATTGAGAAGCTGACCAGGGAGGTGCAGTTGATCCCTAAGGAAAACGGCACCTCCAGCTTCATTCAGGACCTGCAGACCACTCTCCAGTTCGGGCAGGATCAGCTCAAGAGGCAAGAGAAAAACATCTCTGTGCTTCAGACTCAGTACAGCGAGATCCGGCATGGCAACCTCTACCAGCCTGCTCCTGCAGCAGAGCGAGTCGCCAATACCGCTAACAGCCATGTTGCGCCTGCTGCTGCACCTCCTGCTGTTCCTCCTTCTTCTGGAGCACGTGCTGAGCCTCCTACTGCAGCTGCAAATGCCTTTGGCTCCTGCCCCTCGGCCCTGCCTCGTTTTGTCCATGGCAAAACTGACGTTGAGACTTGGCTCTCCATTGCGGAGGACTTTATGTCCATCCACAATGTGCGTAGCGAGGCTTGCGTGGTCTTTTCGACCCTTGCCGTGGACGACACTGCGAGCAAGTTGGTGTATGCCAACAAGCGTCACGTAGAGGCTAATGGCCACCCCTTTGGCTGGGAGGAGTTCAAAGCGGCCATGCTGACGGCGTTCCTGGTTCAGCCCCTGGTGCTCGAGGTGCGTAGCCGCCTGGAGAACATCCAGTGCGGTGACCAGCCTGTACGCGAGTACGCCAAGGAGTTTGAGAAAACTCTGTCGCTGCTGAAGACTGCTCTTCCTGAGAGCGAGGTTATCCACCAGTTCTTCAAGGGACTCCCCGAGCACATCAAGCGTGTGCATGTGGTGAAGGGGGAGCACCAGTGGAAGACCTACAAGGAGTGTAAGGAGCAGGTCATCAGCACGGATGTGCACTTCCGTGCGTACCTGGACCTCAAGAGCACTCGTGCTCAGCAGCAGGACCCACGCACCCAGGGGCGGTGGCTCTTGGAAGAGGCCCTATCAGCATAGGGGTGAATCCTCTGGGACTCAGTCCAAGAGGGCCCATGCTGGGCCTGCCAAAGATCCTCAGGATGATGATAAGCCCCAGGCGGGCAGCCGCATTTGTGGCAAGCCCGGCCACAAGGCCTATCACTGCCGTTGGAGGAAGTCCGTCAAAAACTCTGGCAGGCCCAACCAGGGCAAGAAGCCGGATGGTTCGGACCCTTCGGTTTGGAAGGATTTTCCGAAGTCCAACTAGGGGGTGGGTACCTAGTTGGTGAGCGAGATCGGGTAGATGAGGATGTCCTTCGTGATGAGGATTTGCTAAAGCTAGAGAAGCTTGCATCATGCAAAGTCGCTTGTTTGTATGCCTCTTCTATTAATGAAAAATCTGTTTTTAAAACTCGATCATACCCACTTGAGAACATTTCAATTGAATCCTTGAGAGATAAATTTTCAATCATCTCTTGCTCGTTCAATGAGTTGCCAGCGATAGTGGATATTGTGGACCGTTGTGTCCAGGATATTGTACTGGAAGTCAAATTGGACTTCCAGTACAACATTGTCCCATTCAACAAGAACGGAACGACAATCCAGTGGCAAGTCAATGATACTTTGCCCACTGAAACACAGACGCCTGAACGTCCCAACGCGCTGTGTGTGTTGGCCAACCAATTTGGGCATTTTGTTAAGGCGGCTGATACACTGTTCGTGGTACAGCTCGAGAATGCTGAGGCCTTGGAGCCAGCAATTGAGGATTTCCCTCCTCAGATGCAAATACTGGCAGAGGAATTCAAGGAAGTGTTTGAAACCATCCCCGATGGACTTCCACCTGACCGCGCAGTGGGCCACACCATCCCTGTTGAACCAGGAAAGGTTCCACCCTTTCGGCCTCTGTATCGCCTCAGTCCAGCTGAGTACAAGGAGGCTAAACAACAGATCGAGGAATACCTTAGAATAGGATGGATTGAACCCAGTGCATCCCCTTACGGAGCACCAATTTTGTTCGTTAACAAGAAGGGCGGAGGATTACGCATGTGCGTAGATTATCGTGCCTTAAACAAGATTACGGTGAAGAACAGATACCCTCTACCACGAATTGAGGATTTGTTCGATCGGCTCCAAGGAGCTCAGTGGTTCAGCGCGCTGGACTTAGCTCAAGGGTATCATCAGCTGCGCATCACCGAGGAAGATGTTCCTAAAACGGCTTTTCAAACGCCGTTTGGACACTTTCAGTGGCGTGTGTTTAGTTTTGGCTTGACAAATGCTCCCGCGTCATTTCAGTGAGCAATGAATGATGTGTTTTGGGAGGCAATCGGCCAATTCGTCCTGGTATACTTTGATGATATCCTCGTGTACCCGAAGACCGAAGAAGAACACACGCAACACCTGAAATGGGTGTTAGGAAAACTGCGAGAGCATAAATTCTTTGCTCGGTTGTGGAAGTGTCACTTCTACAAACGCGAGTTGGATTACCTTGGTCACTTGGTAGGCAACGATGGCCTCAAAGTTGATCCAAAGAAAGTGGCGGCAGTCCAACAGTGGCCCATTCCACAGGACGTGAGACAGGTCAGATCATTTCTTGGACTTGCAAACTATTTTCACCGTTTCTTGGAAAACTATTCCTCTGTAGTCGCTCCACTGACTGCCCTCACTCGCAAGGGTAATGCTTGGCAGTGGACCAATCAATGCCAGAAGGCATTTGAGGAGGTAAAAACCATGCTGACCAATGCTCCAGTGCTGGCATTGCCAGACCCGTCCAAGCCCTACGAGGTGGTAATCGATGCCTCGACAGTAGGGATTGGCGCAGTTCTTTTGCAAGAAGGACGCCCCGTGGCATTTGAGAGTAGAAAGCTTTCCCCGGCTGAGCAGCGCTATACTTCTGAACAGGAATTGTTGGCGGTTATGCATGCGCTACGAACATGGAGATGTTATCTCGAAGGTGTTGACTTCGTGGTTACGACCGACCACTGTCCGAACAACTATTTTGCCACTCAAGCCACACTCACCCGCCGTCAAGCTCGATGGGCTCAACTCCTCAGTGGGTTCACCTACGATATTCGATATCGAGCGGGCTCAACGAACATGGCTGATCCTCTGAGCAGACAGCCGATTGGGGCAGCAACGGGTGTTGATGATAATGAACATGAAGCAGTGTTTGCTGCTTGTTTCAGCATCCTCGCAGCTGCTCAAGTGAGCGAGATTGCCTTTGGTGGTTTTCTGAAACGCATCCGCGCAGGGTATGATATCGACCCTTGGCTTCAGAACCCACAGAATACAAAGGATCTCTTGTGGGAGCATGAGCTCTGGTGGCACAAGAAAGAAATTGTTGTCCCACATGTGGGAAACCTGCGGAATGATATTCTAGCAGAGTTGCACGCCACTAAGTATGGAGGACACCTGGGTGTCAAGAAAAACCTGTGGGCCCTAAGTGATGTATACTGGTGGCCGGGATTGGGCATTGAGGTCCAGCAGTTTGTAACTCGCTGTGAAACGTGTGCGCGGCACAAGCCAAGCACACAGAAGCCTTGTGGTTTGCTTCAACCACTCGAGATTCCCGATGAGCCTTGGGAGAGTGTATCGATGGATTTTATCACCGATCTCCCCAATACGCGAGATGGTCATACGGCGATTCTAGTGTTTGTCGATCGCTTGACCAAAATGGTGCACTTCGTTCCCACGACGACTGACGTGTCTACGGAGGATACGGCAAAGTTGTTTGTGACGCACGTTTTCCACTTACATGGTTTGCCTCGTGTGTTGGTGTCTGACCAGGATCCGCGCTTCACAAGCTGGTTATGGCAAGAGGTCATTAAGACACTGGGAACGAAACTCAAGATGTTGTCTGCTTTCCACCCACAAACGGATGGACAGACAGAGCGGAGCAACCGCACCCTTGAGCAAATGCTTTGTTCTTTTATAAGCCCAACTCAAGACGATTGGGATGAATTGTTGCCAGTCGTAGAATTTGCTGTAAACAATTCAGTGCATGAAAGCACGCATGGGAAACCCTTTGTCTTGAACTGTAGTCGGCACCCCACAACCCCTGCGATGCATGGGATTAAGAACCTCAAAATCCCTGCCGCAAAGGACTTTATTGGAAAACAGCAAGCGGCTTTGAAGTTCGCTCGCCATTGGCTACAGCTAGCCCAACAGAGGCAGAAGTCCTATGCCGACATGAAACGCCGGGAAGTCGTCTTTGCAGTTGGCGACAAAGTATTATTGAGTACGAAGAACATTCGTCTTAAGATCCCGGAAGCACAAAAGCTCTTCCCTCGTTGGATTGGGCCCTTCGAGGTGATTGTGCGAGTTGGTGAGGTCACATACAGGCTCAATTTGCCTGCGACATTGCAGATTCACAACGTCTTCCACGTGTCTCTGTTGAATAAGTACGTTGCAGAAGGCAAGTACTTACCACCACCAACCATCGTTCTCGGGGAGGAACTCTTTTATGAAGTCGTTAACGTGTGCTAACGCACCGTGATCGATAACGCTGCCGCAAAACAGTTCGTGAGTTCCTAATTCAGTGGAAAGGCTATGGGCCGGAACAGAACTCATGGGAGCCTGAGGAACACTTGACCGAAGCAGCGGTTCAAGCGTATATGGAAGACCTGGCTCTACGAGCAGGCCCACAACCAGTGGATAGGGTTGACCCTGGTCGTAATGTGGTGCGCCGTGCTCGAAGCACTCATCCTCAGAAGCACGGCAACGGGGACGTTGCCACCTAGGGGGGGAGGAGTGTAACGTATTGCTCTAACTACTGCCTAGCAACCTAACTTCTCCCTAGTCAAATTTCGAGAGTTCTCTTGACAAAGAGAGAGTTGGAGAAGATAGTTGAGTTGATTGGGATGAAACTTGGTTTGGGTTTGCCAAGCCTCAACTTTGGAGGCTTGAAACTTTTCCAACTCAACCAAGAAAATATTGAGGGTTGGATTTCCAACCAGTCACAAACTGCCTGTTCAATGTTACAATCTACTCAATCTAAAATGCAACCATACAATGGTGAAAAGTTGGGTTTTCCAACCCAACCTAATTGCCACATAGGCTTCTAGCCTAGGAACCATCCCACCATGGAAGTCATGGTTAAGAGGGTTCCCCCAAGGGGTGTATTGAGGGGGTTTGAACTACCAAACTCATTCTTCACCTCCCACTCCAACTAATCAATTGGAAATGGGATTGTTTCTCTAAGTCCCTTTTGGCTCTCTCACACAACTTCCTACACAATTCTCTCGAGCCATTTCAACAACTCCTTCAAGAAGATTGACACCTCCAAGGCTATTGGGAGCTAGTTAGAGCTTCAACTTTTATTGGGATTTATTATAAAAGCCTTGTAAACTCCATTATAATAGCCTTGGGTGTTATAGATACTGTACTCGTCTTTATTTTCTATGTCCTCGTGTGTATGCGTGCGTGTGCGGGCATGTGCGTGCGTGTGTGGGCGCGTGCGTGCGTGCGTGCATGTGCGTATGCGTGCGTGTGCGTATGAGCAGGCAGTTCGACGGAGTGACAAGCCGACACTGGAATGCCACTTCACATACGACGATGCTGCTGCTGCTGCTGCTCCTGAACCTGCTACTGCTACTTCTTCCTTCTCCTCTTCCTCTTCCCACCTGGCTCGCATCGACAACCACTTTTACCACGCCTCCTCCAGTCCACATCTCTCTTCCTCCCCATCCTCCTCCTCCCGGTCCTCGTCTCACCCACTCTCTCCACCACCGGCCCTCTCTCCCTCCCCGCATCCCACGTTCCTGCTACCTGCCATCTCCTCCTCTCTGGCCCCGACAGTAGCCGCGCTACGAGCCCACCAGGTCATCGCCGTCCCCACCGACACCATATACGGCTTTGCTGCTGATGCGCGGTGAGTGTGGGTGGCGGTGGGGGATGAGCGGTGGAACGAGGAACTGAGTTGACTCACCAGCCTGGCAAGTCGCCTGCGGTTCCCACCAACACCATCTATGGCTTCGCTGCTGATGCGCAGTGAGTATGGTGTGGTGGTGAGTTGGGGAGGTGGGGAAAGGGGTGAGGATGAGGGGAAGGGCAAGGGGAAGGAGAAGGAGGGGGAGCGGGAGGGGAAGGGGGAGGAAGTGCTGAGGGGAGAGGAGGAGGGGCGAATGGTGGTGGGTCGCTGTATCTTGTGGAGCGCTTCTCTCTTCCTCTCGCCCTAAACCCCCCTCCCACCCTTTCTCTCACCGTCCGTCAATACCACCTTCTCTCTCCACCAGATTCCCATCACTCCCCTAATTTGTTCTGTTTTTTTTTCCCTTTTTTCTCGTCCACCCAAACCCTCCCTTACCCCCTCTCGCTCCCCCTCCCCCCCTTCCCTGTTTTAGGAGAATTTCCATGCATTTACTAAGTTAATGGGTTTTTCGTTTGTTTGGTATTTTTTTTTTTTTTTTGGTCCCTCCTCCCCCCCCCCCCCTCTTCCCCCCCCCCCCCTCCCCTCTCCCCCCCCCCCCCCCCCCCATTTTTCCATCGAATTTCCTTGTAAGTATCTTGAGAATACGCTCTATTTCCTTTTTGAGCGCTTCTCTCTTCCTCTCTTTATTGCTGCTGATGCGTTTATTTCTTGTTTCAAGTGACCTCAGCTAGAAATTCACACACTCTTCCTACTCCTCCACCTCCCTCTCCCCATTTCCCCCCACCCTGCCAGGCCAGCAGAGGGGATCGCGCGCATTAACGAGATCAAGGGTCGGGATTTCAACAAGCCTCTGTCCTCCTCTCCCTCTCTCTCCCCCCCTCCCGCCCTCTCTCCCTCCCCGCATCCCACGCTCCTGCTACCTGCCGTCTCCTCCTCTCTGGCTCCGGCAGTCTCCGCGCTACGAGCCCACCAAGTCATCGCCGTCCCCACCGACACCATCTATGGCTTTGCTGCTGACGCGCGGTGAGTGGCGGCTGAGTTGGGGGATGAACAATTGAGTTGACTTAGAAGCCTGGCAGGTAATCGCCGTTCCCACCAATACCGTCTATGGCTTTGCTGCTGATGCGCGGCGAGTGCCGCGGAGAGTGGGGTGGTGATTTTGGTGGGTTGTGGGAGGTGGGGAAGGGGCTGGGGACGAGGGGAACAGAAGGAGAGGGGGCGGGAGGGGAAGGGGGAGGAAAAGCTGAAGGGGGAGGAGAAGGGGCGAATGGTGATGGGTGGCTGTATCCTGTGTAAATCATTTTTTCTTCCTCTCCCCCCTTACTCTCTCTCTCTCTCTCTCTCTCTCTCTCCCCATCGCTCTCTCAATCCTCTTTCTTTCCGTGGGACGTCCAATAATGTCTTCCCTCCCTTCCCCCAGCCCCTCTTCCCCCCGCTTCCTTCTAGTGGGATCAAGTTCCCCGCATGTACGAAGTAACGAAGTCAACAGTTCTTGTTTAGAGTTCACAGATATCAAGGCCCGTAATTCCCTCGTTAGGCATCTTGAGGATACCTCTCTTCATTGCACGCATGTATACCATGATACCATCAAAACCCGCAGCCCAAATTGCACAAGATCACTAATCTTTTGCCTGCCCCGCGCTATCCGCAATTTTGGGTTGCAGGCTCTAAGGCCTGGAATGATGTCGTTTCAAATCACCTCATCTGAGAACTAACCTATCTTCGTGCTCCTCCCCCTCCTTCCCTTTCTCTCCCCTCTGCCCCACCCTGCCAGGTCAGCAGAGGGGGTCGCGCGCATCTATGAGATCAAGGGCCGAGATTTCAACAAGCCTCTGGCGATCGCGGTGGCGGACATTGCTGATGTGGCAGTGTATGCAGAGACCGAGCACCTGCCGCCCGGGCTGCTGCCGGCACTGCTGCCAGGCCCAGTCACACTAGTTCTCCCCCACCGTGAGTGCGCTTTTAGGAAGGCTAATGCAGCCTGCTTCTAGGCCCAGTCACGCTCGTGCTGCCCCACCGTGAGTGCGACTAGGTTTGCAGGAATTGCGTGTGTGCTGTTGCAGCTGCCTTCAATGCAACCTGCTTGCGCCCAAGCCCAGACACGTTTTTGCTGCCCTGCCGTGCCGTGCCCTGCCCCCCGTGGGTGCTGCTTTTCGGAGGATAGGTGTCGAGTCCATTCCCATGCTGCTGCTTCGCCGTGATGAAAGTGTGACTCGCATCTGACTGCACTTGCTGTCGACTTGACTTAACCTGCTTCTGGCCCCAGTCATTTCTCGTGTACCCGCACTCCCCTCATTCTCCCATTCCCCCCATCCCCCCCATTCCCCTCATTCCCCGCATTCCCCCCATTCCCCGCTCCACTCATTCTCCCATTCCCCCTCCCATCCACCAAACCCCTTCCTCCCCCCCCCTCACACCCCCCCCCTCCCCCCCTTCTCCTTTTCCCTCCCAGGTCCTACCTCCCCGATACACCCCTCGCTCACCCGCACAGTCCCCTCCATCGCGACGCATCCCCGCTTCGCCCTTCATCCGCGCTCTCGCGCGCCTGCTCTTTGCGCCGCTCGCCCTCACATCTGCCAACCTCTCAGGCCACCCGTCCGCCATTGCAGCAGGGGAGTTTAGGGCACTCTGGGGGATGTGTGCGGCGGTGGTGGACAGGGGGGAGCAGGCAGAGGAGATGCGGCAAGGGTCGACAATTGTAGAGCTGGTGCTGCTGGGGCAGTTCAAAGTGATCCGGGGGGGCAGGTGAGTCTATTTTCGAGGTGCCTCATACCTAGGAGTTTCGAGCTCTGTGGGGGATGTGTGCGGCGGTGGTGGATGGGGGGGAGCAGGCAGAGGAGATGCGGCAAGGGTCGACAATTGTAGAGCTGGTGCTGCCGGGGCGGTTTAAAGTGATCCGGGCGGGCAGGTGAGTGTGGTGGCATGGTTGGAGAACTTGTTATGTGCTTGTGCCTGTGTCTGCTCCTGTGTCTGCTCCGGTGTCTGCTCCTGTGTCTGTTCCCTCCAGCCTCCTCCCATCATCCTCGCAACCTCTATGAAGGTCAGTGTGGCTTGCTCACAAGCCATGTGCTTCTTGCTCACAAGCCATGTGCTTCTTGCTCACAAGCCATGTGCTTCTTGCAGTCCACACGGAGGAAGAAAGTGTTCTTGCAAACTCACCATGTTAAGAAAATGAGTTTGTGGAGTGATGTGGACATGTCAACAAATCCCAACCGCGGCGCTAGGCCCGTCGCACACCCAAATTGCACACATTACCGTTACCACTTTAGTTTCGCTATATACTCTTCGCTCATGCCTTCGCTCATTGTACTGTTTTGCTTCGATAGTGCAATTCTCGCTCGCTCACTCACTTGAATTCGTAACAGGCGGGGAGGGCAATTTTTCATAAATCACACCATTGCTTACAAGTATATAAAAAACCATGACCACAACAAGAGATGCATGATGTATATTTAGCATGTAAGAACCAGAAAACAGGGTCGAGCACCGATGAAATCAATCATATATAGTGTGATCCATAGAATTAAATGTAATTCCACCATATATATTGCGATCCATAGAATTAAATGTCATTCCACCATAAAGATCACTCCCAGGGCACCCCAGGGAGAGCAGCAGGCAGGGGGGCAGCCGAGGGTGCCCGGGGCACCCCAGGGAGAGCAGCAGGCAGGAGGGCAGCCGAGGGTGCCCGGGGCACCCCAGGGAGAGCAGCAGGCAGGAGGGCAGCCGAGGGTGCCCGGGGCACCCCATGGAGCGCAGCAGGCAGGAGGGCAGTCGAGGGTGCCCGGGGCACCCCAGGGAGAGCAGCAGGCAGGGGGGCAGCCGAGGGTGCCCGGGGCACCCCAGGGAGAGCAGCAGGCAGGGGGGCAGCCGAGGGTGCCCGGGGCAGCCGAGGGTGCCCGGGGCAGCCGAGGGTGACCGGGGCACCCTAGGGAGAGCAGCGGTCAGAGGGGCAGCCAAGGGTGCCCGGAGCACCCCAGGGAGCGCAGCAGGCAGGGGGGCAGCCGGGGGTGACCGGAGCACCCCATGGAGCGCAGCAGCCAGGGGGGCAGCCGGGGGTGACCGAAGCACCCCAGGGAGAGCAGCAGTTGGGGGGGCAGCCGGGGGTGACCGGAGCACCCCAGGGAGCGCAGCAGGCAGGGGGGCAATCGATGGACGGCCGGGAGCAGCAGTTGGAGGAGTGGATCCGACTTTTGGAGTTTGATACCCCCATGGCGACTGCGGAGGAGTCAGAGGCGGACAGAGAACCTCCCAAGCCGCATTCCCCATGCCCCCGTTTTCCGTATGACACATGTTTTCACACTTTCGCTATGCGAGGGGCCGCTGCAAACCACATGAGGGTATGCCGGGCGGCTGATGTGGAGAGGCGTGCACAAGCTCTCGGCTCGATCCCGTCTTTGGTGGAGACCGACACGCAGGAGCGACCGACGCCGCGGGAATTTGTCATGGGAATGGGAAACATTTTTCAGTGTGGAGGCGGTTGGAGGGAGGACAGTGCGCCGGATCCCACAGCGGGCCCGATCGGGGGTCTTAGACGCACTCTGTTGCATCTTAAAGCATTTGAAGAGCCAACCGGGAGATGAAGCCGCTACCCTCCTACTCTTGGCGTTTCCGCGCCTCATCCTAGCCGTGCCTCCCAAGCCATGCATAGGTCAGAAGGCGCTGATCACGGAGTGGCTGGGTCGTTCTGGGAGGGGAGGTGGCGGAAGCTGTTCGACTCTGCCATGGTGGCGGCGCGGCCAACAGTTCGCCCACTTTCCTACACTTGCTCTGACCAAGACCCGGATGCCATCCGCCTGTCACGGTGCCTATCTCGGTGCAAAGTGGGGGAGTGGAGCCGTGGATTGGCCTGCCTTATGGCAGGGGAGTTGGCTAGACCGTCTGAGGCCATGGTGCAGTCGCTGCGAGAGAAGCACCTTGCCAGCACTGGCGATGTACCACAGTGGGTCCACGATTTCACCGTTGATGCTGCTCAGCGGCCTTCACTCACGACCGACATCCTGACCAGAGCTATCCATACAGCCGCTCGAGCTTCAGCAGCAGGGCCATCGGGGTGGGTCACAGAGCATCTGCGCGACACCTTCCTCACTGAACCTTCCCGCCTTTCCCACCTGTTGGAAGTGTTCAACCAAAGGGTGGCGGGACAGGTCCCCGAGCGGGCTCGGCCGTGGCTCGCCGCATCCAACCTAGTTGGGCTTTCCAAGCCTAACGGCGACGTCCGGCCGGTGGCGATCGGGGAGGTGCTTCCTCGTATCCTTGCTCGAGCTCTCTGCATCTCGCTCCGCCCTGCGATGGCTTCCTACTTCCTGCCGTGCAACCAGCTGGGAGCGGGCACCAGGGTCGGGGCGGAGATTCTCACTCATTATTTCCGGTCAGCGCTGGCCACTCACCCCGACTGGTGTGCGCTACAGATAGACGTCGCAAATGCCTTCAATTCATTTCACCGCCATGCGATGTTTGATGGGCTGCGGGAGTCGCCGTTCTCAGGGATGATCCCATTCTTGCGTGTTTTCTATGGGACATCTAGCAACCTGTACCTCCGAGCGGGCCCTTTCGTACAGAGCCTCGAGTCGGCACGGGGATCGAGGCAGGGGGACCCGCTCGGCCCTTTTCTTTTCGCGTTCACGCGGCAGCAGGTGATGGAGCCGGTTACTAGGGAGTTCGGGGACCTACTTTTCCTCAACTATGCAGACGATACCTATATTTTGGGGCCAGCGGCTAGGATTCTAGAGGCTTTTGGGGTGCTGCGGGAGCGGTTGGAGTGGGTGGGGCTGGAGGTGCAGGCGCACAAGTGTCGGGTTTGGGAGCGCGAGGGCGGGGATGTGGAGCAGGCAGTGCCATTGGGGATGCAGCGGGTGGAAGAGGGTCTTAATGTGGTGGGCATGCCTATTGGGGAGGAGGATTGGGAGGTGGTCCAGCTACGGGAGCGGCTTCGACAGTTGCAGGCGCCACTGCCATGGCTCCCCCTGCTCGACCACCCCCAGATGGCTTCACACCTCCTCGCCATTGCAGTTTCAGCGCGGCCGATGTACCTTGCCCGGACTATGCCGCCGCGTCCAGAGGTGGTTGAGGCTTTTAGGGATTGGGATAGCTGTTTGGAGGATTGCTTTGAGCAGCTTTTCCCACCTGGCACTTGGGAGAAGGACCCCGACCGGTCTAGGCGAGCACGCATGCAGCTGCATCTCCCTGTGCGACTCGGAGGGTTCGGGATCCGGGCGGCGGCCTCTTTGAGCCCACTGTCCTACGTTTGCGGGTGGGCACAGGCCACGCGTGACATAGGACAGTTAGGGGTGGCGGGCGAGGAGGCGATGTTTGCAGAGTACCTCACCACTTCGACAGGGGCAGAGTTTCTTGACCCATGGTTTGTCAAGGCTCTTGAGCAACTGCCAGCGACTATCCGCCAGGAGATGCCGAGCTTACCTCTGTGTGTAGCGGCCCCTCCTCTTCGGCTTTTCCAGGTGCGGCAGCAGCAGTTAGCTGTAAAGGAGCTCCAGGCACTACGCCGCTCGGCTCGTGACGATGCTACCCTGGCCTGTTTCACATCCCTTCAGGGCCCAGGGGCGGGTGCATGGGTTTCGGCGGTTCCAACTCACTCAGATCTCACATTCACTGTGGCTGAGTGGGGCATTGCTACTGCTATACGCCTTGGGCTCCCAATTCAGCAGCTGCAGGTGGCGGGGAGGTTTGTTTGCGGGACAGCGTATGTTGACCCGGTGGACCCGCATCATGCCCTGAGATGCAAGCACCAGCATGGTCCATCTCGGGTGCATGATGAGATGAAGTTTGCGATGGCGAAGATCTCTAAGGTGTCGGGGGGGGCGGTGACAATGGAGGATAGTGTGGTGCTGCCAGAGAAGCGGGTTGATGTGGCGGTCGACGACCAATGGCTGGAGAGGCTCACGCCCTAGAGATCAGCGTCGCGGACCCGCTATCGCTGTCTCCATCTCTGCTAGGACAGTGCAGGCGTCAAATAGGTGTGGCGACAAGAGAGTGGGAGCGTCGCAAAACGAGTGATTACGCGCTTCTGCTAAAAGTAACCGGGGCGTGCAGTTCACCACTCTGTTAGTAGAGACGTGAGGGGTGTCTCGGCGGTCGTTTTCGGCGGTCGTTTTCAGCAGGGGGATGCGCACGTGGGGCTAGCTGTGTCGCGGGGGGCTTGTCAGGAGGACGACACTGTGTTTTCGGCTTATCTTTTAGGGTCCCTGAAGGCGCTCATCGGGGTGGCGTTGCAGCGTGCGCAAGCCTGTGTTATCCTGCTTCGAGCGGGGTCTTCCATGGGGGGGATCAACGTCGATTTGGTGGACCGGGATAGGGACGATGTCGATGTGAAAGGCGGAGCTTTCTGGGTGGTGGCCCCGTACATGGTGGATGCACAGTTGTGATTGGGGAGGGTGAAATGGGATGCATGATGGGGTGTCTTGACTGGGCGTTTCGATTGGGTATCTTGAGGGGGGTTGTTATGTGTGTTTCCCTTTCTTTCTCCATAAGAAATAAAGATCACTCCGCGCCACGTATTGATTTCTGCAAACCCAACAAGCATGGAGCTCATTGAAGGGAACATTGGTTTATGAAGCCATAAGAATGTCATACATTGGAAAGAAATGTACGCGCTGTAAATAAACGTGCATAGCTCCTTCCCAAGTCAAGAAAGCCGTCTAGGTAGAGGGAGGTGTCTTCACGGGCTGTCGCCGATTGGAACAATGAACATTCCTGCGAATCAAAGCACGACTTTGCCAAAGAGATTGCGTCGTTGCGACCCCGGTGCTTTCCTTTCAAATGCCCCCGCATGTGCCCGTGACGGGGATCAAACTGTTATGTACCGTACACAGCACAGGATATTTTGTGGAAATGGAGAAGAATCAAAGGGTTGCGAGCGACAGCATGCTGAATTTCCACCACTACGTTCCGACGGATGGCTGTAACCCTGCCCTGGAAAAACCTTCCCAAACCCTTCCTAAACCCTTATCCATCCGACACCAGTTTGAACTACGACACAACGCTGTGATCAGTGTTACAACTCTCCTATCCAGAGTCTCACAGCCAAGCCACCTTGTTTTAGGGGCTGAGAACTAGTTCATTGCAATGACGGCCTTGGAGTCTCGTCACTTCACTTCGACACATTACATCCTGTGCACCCACTCCGAACTAACAGGTTCTTGCGCTTCAGAGGGTGACAGCGCAGCTCACGGGCTATTAGTAGCGCTGCTATTGCTGCTCGGATAATTGTTCGTGGCTTACGACGATTCTGCTCTTCCAAGCCAGCGAACCCGGCCGCGATGAGTAGTAGTAGTGTTGGCGGTGGCAGTGCGATCCGCTGCGTGCCGAGTCGCTCCAGTCACCAAATCGCGATTCCGAACGCGCCCTCGCTTTCTTCCTTAAACGATCGTGTTTGTTTCGCGAACAGCCATGTCGAATCGCCTTCCACCGCGTACACCTTTCTCAATCGCAGGAACTCGATAACAGCGCGGAGTTTACGCTGCGCCGCGGTGCAGCAAGGGGACTGTTCCCATATGCGATACAAGATTCGTCCGTCACTTGTATTGACGCGGCGCGCAACAGCCGTCAGTCCCTGCTGCGCCTCGAGAGATGTCTCCGCGAATTGCGCTGGGTTCGCGCGGGGCCTTCGTTACAATCACATGGACGGCGACGACCGACTCAACGGTCCAGATCAGAAACGATCGACGGATGCAAAGTACGCAGACGGGGGCGTTTACGTTTTAACGCATAGTTCAGTTGGGGCGTTTACGTGATCACACCGTTTTATACCAGATTAGCCCCCCCTTTCCTCGTCACAACCCAGCAGAGTCCTTTGCGAGAAATTGTAGGTACTGTACTATAGGTCTTATCTTTTTGTGTACCCATGTGTATGTGCGTGCGTGTGCGTGTGCGTGTGCGTGTGCGTGTGCGTGTGCATGAGTGTGCGTCCGTACATGCGCGTGCTTGCAGGCAGTTCGACGGAGTGACAGCACAGCCGACACTGGAACGCTACTCAGCATATGACGCTGCTGCTGCTATTCTTGAACCAGCCACTGCTACTTCATCCTTTTCCTCATCTTCTTCCCACCGGGCTGGCACTGACGACGACTCTCACCGCGCCTCCTCCAGTCAACACCTCTCTTCCTCCCCATCCTCCTCCCTGTCCTCCTCTCCCTCTCTCTCCCCCCCTCCCGCCCTCTCTCCCTCCCCGCATCCCACGCTCCTGCTACCTGCCGTCTCCTCCTCTCTGGCTCCGGCAGTCGCCGCGCTACGAGCCCACCAAGTCATCGCCGTCCCCACCGACACCATCTATGGCTTTGCTGCTGACGCGCGGTGAGTGGCGGCTGAGTTGGGGGATGAACAATTGAGTTGACTTAGAAGCCTGGCAGGTAATCGCCGTTCCCACCAATACCGTCTATGGCTTTGCTGCTGATGCGCGGCGAGTGCCGCGGAGAGTGGGGTGGTGAGTTTGGTGGGTTGGGGGAGGTGGGGAAGGGGCTGGGGACGAGGGGAACAGAAGGAGAGGGGGCGGGAGGGGAAGGGGGAGGAAAAGCTGAAGGGGGAGGAGAAGGGGCGAATGGTGATGGGTGGCTGTATCCTGTGTAAATCATTTTTTCTTCCTCTCCCCCCTTACTCTCTCTCTCTCTCTCTCTCTCTCTCTCTCTCTCTCTCCCCATCGCTCTCTCAATCCTCTTTCTTTCCGTGGGACGTCCAATAATGTCTTCCCTCCCTTCCCCCAGCCCCTCTCCCCCCCGCATCCTTCTAGTGGGATCAAGTTCCCCGCATGTACGAAGTAACGAAGTCAACAGTTCTTGTTTAGAGTTCACAGATATCAAGGCCCGTAATTCCCTCGTTAGGCATCTTGAGGATACCTCTCTTCATTGCACGCATGTATACCATGATACCATCAAAACCCGCAGCCCAAATTGCACAAGATCACTAATCTTTTGCCTGCCCCGCGCTATCCGCAATTTTGGGTTGCAGGCTCTAAGGCCTGGAATGATGTCGTTTCAAATCACCTCATCTGAGAACTAACCTATCTTCGTGCTCCTCCCCCTCCTTCCCTTTCTCTCCCCTCTGCCCCACCCTGCCAGGTCAGCAGAGGGGATCGCGCGCATCTATGAGATCAAGGGCCGAGATTTCAACAAGCCTCTGGCGATCGCGGTGGCGGACATTGCTGACGTGGCAGTGTATGCAGAGACCGAGCACCTGCCGCCCGGGCTGCTGCCGGCACTGCTGCCAGGCCCAGTCACACTAGTTCTCCCCCACCGTGAGTGCGCTTTTAGGAAGGCTAATGCAGCCTGCTTCCAGGCCCAGTCACGCTCGTGCTGCCCCACCGTGAGTGCGACTAGGTTTGCAGGAATTGCGTGTGTGCTGTTGCAGCTGCCTTCAATGCAACCTGCTTGCACCCAAGCCCAGGCACGTTTTTGCTGCCCTGCCGTGCCGTGCCCTGCCCCCCGTGGGTGCTGCTTTTCGGAGGGTAGGTGTCAAGTCCATTCCCGTGCTGCTGCTTCGCCGTGATGAAAGTGTGACTCGCATCTGACTGCACTTGCCGTCGACTTGTCTTAACCTGCTTCTGGCCCCAGTCATGTCTCGCGTACACCCACTCCCCTCATTCTCCCATTCCCCCCATCCCCCCCATTCCCCTCATTCCCCGCATTCCCCCATTCCCCCGCTCCACTCATTCTCCCATTCCCCCTCCCATCCACCAAACCCCTTCCTCCTCCCCCCCCCCACACCCCCCCCCTCCCCCCCCTTCTCCTTTTCCCTCCCAGGCCCCACCTCCCCCATACACTCCTCGCTCACCCGAACAGTCCCCTCCATCGCGGTCCGCGTCCCCGCTTCTCCCTTCATCCGCGCTCTCGCCCGCCTGCTCTCCGGGCCGCTCGCCCTCACATCTGCCAACCTCTCAGGCCACCCATCCACCATCGCAGCAGGGGAGTTCCGCGCGCTGTGGGAGATGTGTGCAGCAGTGGTGGATGGGGGGGAGCAAGCAGAGGAGATGCGGCAAGGATCTACAATAGTGGAGCTGGTGCTGCCGGGGCGGTTTAAAGTGATTCGGGCAGGAAGGTGAGGGTGACCCTTAACCCTGGCTGGCTTGCGACCGTGTGCTGTGCTGTGTCCTGTCTGTGTCTGGTGGAGTGAGTGAGCGAACCGTGTGGTGAGCGAGCGAACCGTGTGGTGAGCGAGCGAACCGTGTGGTGGGCGAGCGAACCGTGTGGTGAGCGAGCGAACCGTGTGGTGGGCGAGCGAACCGTGTGGTGAGCGAGCGAACCGTGTGCTTTCTTTTTTCGCAACCCTCCTGTGGTTTTGGGGCGGTTCAGTGTGATTTGGGAGGCAGGTGGGTTGGTGGCCTGGTTAGGAGACTTTGTGCTGTGCCTGTGCTTGTGCTTGTGCCTGTGACTGTGACTGTCCTCGGTTCTTTGTCTTGGGAAGGGGCAATGCGTTGGGAGGGGTGGCGAGGGGAGGGGGAGGTAAGGGAATGGGTTACAAGGAAGTTCAGAAAAGCATAGAGTAGGGAGGACTAGGGTTCGTTTGGATTCTCCCGACACATGTGTAACAGTTGGGCAATGTGTGATATGTTCGGTCCCAGCCTCCTTTCGTCTCCAAACCTTTCTACTTTCCGCGCTCAACCCCTCTCCTTCCCCCCACCCTCCATCACCCTGCTCCCAACCATCGCACAGTGCCCTTCCGGCCACGCTCGCCACACTCCATCGCTTTAACCTGGAAGAGTCACTCTCGTCATGACACTCGCACGTGTGCCCCTCGATGCCTGCCGTCATGTTCCCTCACCTGCATGGATGTGTCACAATTTGAGATGAGATGCCTCGAGGCTCAAGGAAAATTCTCGATAACGCTTTCTGTGAGGTGTGATTGATAGGTACCATAGGCCAGTACCGGTAAGACTTTGGTCGGGCTTAGAGAATGTGGTGCAGTGATCTGTATCTTTCTGATTTGGCAGCAGAAGGGGCTCCTCTGAACTGAAGGCCTTGTTTATGGTCTGCCATGCATTTCCTGACTGCCAATTGCCTACGCTCTTGGAATGTTGTCAGTTTTTTAGCGGAGCTTATCCCGCTTTCACCTAAGCAAGTGTTACCGTGTATTGGACAAGTGGCATGGCGTTGGGTAGTGTAACAGTGTTGGGTTGTGATCAAGGTGTAGGTACCGTATATTCCTTCAGAGACTGCAGAAGTCCAGAAGTAGAAATGTAAACCACTCTGCATTCTTCTCTAATTCTGTTTCATAATATTGCAAAATTGACATCTGAAATTGAAGGGTAGAGTGCAGACAGCTACATCGCTGCGTACATCACCTAACATGGTACCTAAAACAGACCTTACGATATCCTACAGAAACTGCAAGCAAACCACACAAAGGCTATTTGTTCATTCGTCCTTTCCAGTTTCCTCGCCAAACCTGAACTACTAAGCAGGAAGGCACACTGCATCCAAGAAGCTTCGAGTCTGCCTTCTCGCCGAATCTTCTGTTATGGCTTCCCAACCTCTCATTCTTGGTTTGAGTTGAGTTACACCAGGTCTGCGCTTGAAACTACCTCTCCACCTACCCAGTATTCTGCATGCCTGCAGCAATGCCCTTCATGGTGAGAATCAACGTGTCTTCCAGCCCGGGAGCATACACACTGGAAGGGTTGAGAGAAACGACCTCCGCACCCCGGCTAGGAGTCAAGTGTTTCTTCAGTCTTGACCCACCGCTCTCGGTTTCTCCCTTAGGCTCAGCAGCGGCGGCGGCGGCGGCGGCACGCATGCGCTTGAGTGTGAGCACTTGCATGACGTTGAGAGGCGTGATGTAGGGCTCTCGCACCAACAGGCGCTGGCGGAGCGTGGGATTGCTCTCCAGGGGGACCAGGTGACCACAGATCTGTAGAGTGGTGACAGGAAGGAAGAGGATTTAGGAGCGGTGAGAGAGGCGAAAATAAGGTAAGAATCATGGCACGGTTACGCTGAAAAAGAAGGACGAAATAAAATTGTAATGAAATAAAGTTAGCACACAGGAGAGGATGAGAGAGACAGGAGCGAGAAAGGAGGAGACGGGGAGTAAGAAACAGAGAGTGGGGGAGACGAAGGGGCGGGTAGCAAGGCAGAGCGCTAACTGAGCGCAGTCCATACCAGCAACACGAAGTTCTTGCTCTCCTCGTACTTGTTCAGCAGCAGCTCCCCCATCTCATGCAAATCAGGCGGCGCCAGCACGTGCTGGTACAGCCGGGCCACACGTGGGTCACCCTTGGCAAACACCATCTCAAGGAGGTCGAGGGTGACACGGAAGAAAGGCCACTGCTGGTACATGCTCTGTAGCTCGTCCAGTGCGAGTGGGTCCTCTTCGACTACCCCGCGCAGCGCTGCGCCCAGGCCGAGCCACACGGGCAGGTGGAAGCGCGTCTGAGTCCAAGCGAAGATCCACGGGATGGCTCGCAGCGTCTCCACTCCGCCGCCCGCCTTGCGCTTGGCCGGGCGGCTGCCGATGTTCATGCGCGCGAACTCCGTCTCGGGGGTCACCGCGCGGAACAGCTCCACAAACCGCGGGTTCTGGAACACCACAGAGCGGTACTCCTCGGTGGAGAGCGGTGCCATGCGCTCCATCATGGCCTGCCACTGCGGAAGCGCGGCGCGGGGCGGGTTCAAGGTGTGGTCGAGGGTGGCGGCGGTGAAGCGCTGCAGCGTGCGGAAGCAGAGGTGTTCCTCGCCGAACGACTGCTCGATCACCTCGCCCTGCACTGTCACTCGCAGCCGCCCGTTCACCGTGCCCGGCGGCTGCGACAGAATCGCCAGATGCGTCGGCCCGCCCCCACGCCCCACCGTGCCCCCACGGCCGTGGAAGATGCAGAGGTGCACGCCGTGCTGCTGTGCCACCTCCACGACGCTGGCCTGCGCCTTGTAGAGCGCCCAGGCGGCGCCGAGGCGGCCGGCGTCCTTGCCCGAGTCGGAGTAGCCGATCATCACCTCCTGCACGCCGCCCTCCAGCGACGCGCGGTACAGCGGCAGCGAGAACAGCTGCTGCAGCACGGCGGGCGCGTTGGTGAGGTCGTCCAGGCGCTCAAACAGCGGCACCACGCGCAGCGGCTTCTTCACGCCCGCGGCGCGCTGCAGCAGCTGCACCTCGAGCACGTGCGAGGCGCTGGTCGCCATGGAGATCACGTACGCGCCCAGCGAGTCCCTCGGCAGCGCCGCCAGCTGGCGGAACGTGCGCAGCACCTCACGCACCTCGTCACTCGCGGTGTCGAGCAGCTCCTCCCCGAAGAGCGGGCGGCGGCTCTGCAGTTCCTGGGTGAGCCAGTCAATGCGCTGCTGCTCCGGCCAGTCGTGGTAGGTGCCTTGACCCAGGTGCTCCGTGATGGCGTTCATGGCGTCTGAGTGCCGCGCTCCCTCCTGCCGGATGTCCAGCCGCACCAGTGACAGCCCGAAGCACGCTACCTGCCGCAGGGCGTCCAGCAGAGCGCCATCTGCTACAGGCTGGTCGCCCACGGCTGATAAGGACTTGTAGCAAAGCTCTAGGGGCTCCATGAGCTGCTCCGATGTGGTGTAGATGTCATCCTCGTTATAGTCTGACCGGCCCTTGGCTATGATCTGCTGGATGTGGTCGCGCGTGTTCCAGAGCTTGTCGCGCACCTCCCCGAGGACCACTCGGTACGGCTCGTTGTCAGGGATGCCGCGCCAGAACTCTGAGAAGTGACAAGGTTCGTGCGAGGAACATGTGGAGAAGGATGCATGAGGAGGATTGGAGGGCCAGCATGTGTCACTGTGAGGGAGCTTTCAAGAAATGACTTGCTCTAGAATGTGTTTAATTATGCATGTGCGTCCAGCATCACCCCCCCTCTTCCCTATCGCACAATGCCTGGGATGGGAAGGGAACCTGGAAGTTCTTACCAATATAGTGGTTGGTGTGGCGCTTGGCCCCGGATCGCACAGCTGCCGCCCGTTCCTTAAGCTCGTCACTAGCTCTCCACATGGACAGCTGCACATTGATATTAGGGGAGAGGATGACACATATGAGTGAGATGAACAGGGTTTTCCACAAATCAGGCAGATAGAGAAGAAGGGCAAAATGATAACATCGTGCTCGTAGTTTCCAGTGATACATGCCCGGCCCGGCTTAGGAAGAAAGTGATGGTGGAGTGGAGGTTCCAAGAACTACTCACATCGAACATAAGGCTTTCTATTTGAGAAATGTACAGGTTGGTGACCATCAAGCGGGACAGGTAGACGACGTCCTTGGTGACTTCAGAAGTCACGCGGGGATTTCCTGTTGCGGGGATAAAACAGAGGTGCAGAGTATGAACATCTTCAGCCAAATATGTACCGCAAATATCTGTCAAGAAACACAACCTTATTTCCCATCGTAACTCCCTAGGGTGGAGTCCCAGCGACAATTTCACCCACATAAGCCCAGATCGAGTCGAGACCCTCCCAAGTACCGCAATAATTTCTTAGAGGCTCCCACCGAACCCAAGTACATGAACACCTCCCCAACCTCCCAAGAACGTTGAACGTTTCAGATCAATTCGCACAGCACCCCACCATCCAAACAGTTAGTCCTGCCAATCTCTTCGCTCACCGTCGCGGTCGCCGCCCATCCAGGAGGAGAAGGCGATGATGGGGAGGCGATAAGGCAGGCGGTGCGGCACGCCGAGGTGGCGCAGCGCGGTGTCGACGCGGCGCAGGAAGCGCGGGACTCCCGTCCAGATGGTCTCGTGCATGTAGCTCATGCCGCCCCGCATCTCGTCCTGCGGGGTCGGCTGCGACCGCCGAATCTCGTCCGTCCGCCACGCTGCCTGGATCTGCGCGAGGTGAAAGCGAGGAATACATAGGGAGTCGCGTTGCCGATAAATGGACAGCGGAATAAAAAAGATGAAGACAATAATAAGAGAACGAAACAAAAATCACAACAAAAAAAAGGGAAGCAGGCAGACATGCAATGTGTAGTTAACGCAAGGCCACAAAATACGGCCAAGAAAGTACGGGCCTCGGTAAGAATAAAATGGAAGCCATCTCATCAGCGACATACCTCGCGTTTGATAGCCTCCGTGAGCTCGAGCTTTCGCTCGGCCGTGACCTTCTGCTCGTGCAGCTGGCCCAGCAGGGTGCGAATCCGCGAGTGCTTCTGCAGCAGCGACCGTCGGATGGACTGCGTGGGATGCGCCGTGAGCACCAGATCCACGCGCTGCTTGCACAGCGCCTCGTAAATCTCCTCCGGGCTCTTCCCCGCCTTGCGCAGCTTGTCAAATGTCTCGACAAGAGATGACTCGGTAAGCGAGCTGCCCTCGTCCTCGATCGCGCCATGGCGCTGCGACTTGAGAGTCTTTCGGCGAGCCATCTGAACTTCCTCTGCGAGAATTGCCCGAGGAATTGGTGAGAAGGGGTGAAGGGAGGGAGGGAGGGATGCGCCTACCTATAAAGAAGGATTCTATACGACAGCGATGCTTCCGTGATTAGTTAAGGGTAATACTTGCACCGAATCAGGATCATGCCAAGCGGAATTGCTCGCTTGAGTGCAGCAGCTCCGAACGGCGGAGCTAGGCGGTTGCATACCACGTGAGCCTAGTACCACAGACACTGCGGCAAGTAGGAGCGTGTGGGCGTACCAGCGATGTTGCCGAGAGTGAGCATGTGCGAGAAGGCGGAGGCGCAGAGGATGGACTCGGCGGGGTCGAGCGACTCGATCACCTCCTGCAGCTTCGCGAGGTCCGCCGGGTTGTTGCTCTTGTTGTACGCCGCCGACAGCCCGTAGCACGTCTCCACCTGGGGGGACAGGGGATTGGGAAAGGAGGCGGGAATGGGGAAAAAGGGCGAGGAGGAGAGGAGAGGGAGACGGGAGGAGCGAGAAGGGGAGTCATCTTGATGAGTGTTTCGAAGGATTTTTCGGGGACGGGTTGGCTTCGGAAAGTAAAGGTTAATACGGGTTGGATACGGGAGCGATGTGCCCTCTAGTGTTTGTGAAGCCATGGTCTCTGTCTAAAACGATTGTAGACGTATGAGAAATAAGGATCGAAGAAAAACAGAGAATCGGCAATGAAATTGAACCAAGGAGTGTCGAACCTGACAGTGGACCACATGAATCTCGCTAATGACGCCTAAAATATCAGCGAGACACAACCTCCCAGCGCGCTACCGCACTGCGCTTACCGCCTGCGCGAGCTCGTGGCCCTCGAGGTCCTTGAGGATGGCGAGCAGCGAGTTGACGAGCAGCTCCTCGTCCTCCACCAGCACGTCGTCCTCCGCCACCCTCTCGTTCACCTGCTCCAGCGCCTCGTGCACCGTCAGGTGCTCCGGGAACTCGTGATGCGCCACCGCCTTCGCCTCTGCGGCAGTTCCGTTGGACTTTTCGGCCACGTGGTTGCCGGCGAGAAGCCCGTTGGAGGTGACATGGCTGGCGTCCGGTGTGGGTAGGGTAGCTGTGTCCGTGGCCTGGCCCATTTATTGGAACCGGGTTAAATGTCTAGCGCCGCACGTGGATCACGGACTTGGGAAGTTGCTTACTGGGTAGAGATGAAGGCAGAGTTTAAGTTCAGATTTTAAGGCTATTCGAGGTTTGACTTGAACAACTACCTGCGAGTATTGCCTCGACGGGTTTATCCTATCTCCGAAAATCTGGGTGAAAGGAACGAAGTAGTGGACGAATGAGAGGGGCGTCTGGCTGATTCGGTGAGAACGCGCCGCCATGTCTCGCGTGTTTGAGACTCCAGCGGAATGTCGTACGGATCCACGAGCCCGCCCCTCTGCCGTGAATGCAGTTCAAATTGGTTCCCGCGGCGTCGTCGACTGAAGCAGAGCCTCCACGGATGTATTTGGAAGAGAAAGCCGATGGCGGCGCGACGAACGGACTCTGCTGGGATAACGTTGACCAAACCGGCGCAATTGGGAGGAAGTGAAGTTCCTAGGTGACTCACTACGTCAGCTGAAGGAACACGTGGAGGAGAAGCATGGAGCTGATCAGAAAGTCTCAGCTGTGACCAGCAGTGTGTGGCTTGAATCAAATCGTGCTACACGAGACCTGAAACAGAGTGCATCTGGTTGGTATCTCAGCGGAAACGGGTCGTCAGGCCTGACGACCTGTGACGACCTGACGACCTGCTGCCCCGGGCAGAAAAACCGACGACCTGAACGCGCTGAGATATATTCGGCGATATATCTCAGCAGACAAGCGAGTCCGCCCGGGGGAGCTCGCTGCCCGCGGGCAAAAAAAAACCCCAGAAGGGCATGCATCCGGTCAGGGAGGCATCAAGCCTGAACACAGGGAGGCATGGATTTAGGGTTGATGCCTCCCTCGGATGCGTCCGCCTGCCCACTTTGAAGTGTAGATTTGAATGCCGGTTTGTCGCGCAAAACGGGCCCCTTCCAAACGGGGATTGAGATGCCCAGGATTTTGAGCCAGGAGGGATGGGGCGATTCGGCACCGACTGTGGCTTCCAGAAGCGAATGGCGTGGAGACGAACCTGGACAACAGTCGAAACGGTGTTCTGGTAGTTTTACAGAACAGTGAAGAGCATATAGTGCATGGTTCTTTACATCCTGATTACCCTGATATATAGTACACGCGAGACATTCGGTGAGAACGCGCCGCCATGTCTTGCTTGTACTATATATCAGAACACATACGCGCCCCACGTTATCAAGGCAAAACATCCTGATTACCCTGAAATCAGGATGCAGTTTTAAATTTCAGAATAGTGCCAAATTGAACCCTGCGGTCTCAGGGTGTTGTTATGTGAAATACCCTGGGCATTCAGGATGGTCGTGGTGTTCTTCCCTGAAGCGTCAGGATGAATGCCGAGGCTTGCCCTGACGCGTTTTTAAAGGGGGGGATGAAGGGGGGGGAGGTGGTGGGGGGGGGGGGGGGAGGGGTGTTCCTGTTCCCGGGGAATTTTCTCCCCGGGGTTTTTTTTTTTTTTTTTTTTTTTTTTTTTTTTTTTTTGGGTTGCGAAGCAACCTATTAGAGTGTGTTCCTATCCTCGTATCAAGACAACCTCGTATCAGGCTCACACTGAAAATTCCCCTAAACCCAAAACCTCTCGCGAATTTTACCAGGCAAAAACTACATTCTTGATACGAGGTTTCCTGATATGAGGTCATAGGAACACGCCCTTACAATTATTATGTTCTATTTTTTTTCCATATTTTAAATTTTAAATATGAAAAAAAAACGAGAATTATTTCAACGACTACCTTACTATGCTTGTGGTGCGTATGTGGCTGTGTACTCCGTCTGTGTGTTCAATTTTTTCCTACTTTGTGGCTGTGTAACCTGTAATGCGTACATTAATATGATGATTTTTGTTACGAATAGCAATGAATGAAGATTACAATGCACTCCCGACCGCAGCTAAAGAAGCATGAAGTATCGAGAACGAATGTGAAGAGTCAGAGTTGACTCGAAACGCCAAACAGTTGAGATGCATCTGGACCAACGGGGCTGTGAAAGAACAAGGAATGAATGAACTAGCAAGCAGGTGGGTACAAGTAGGAAAACCTAAAAGTGTTGTACCCCATATTGTCTACCCCACTACAGCCTACACAGACTATAGCATATGAGTTTGACACACCCCCATAGGCAAAATGGGGGAGAACAAGAGGTCACAAGACCAGTCAAGCAAAGCAAAGCAAGCTCAGGGTGGATCACAACGTCACCACACAGTCCGAGCACAAGAGCAAGGCCACAAGGCCAGTTCACATGCAAGATCATATATAAAGGTAAACAAGCAAGTGCAGGTATAGAAAGATCACAGTACAAGCAAGGTCAAGAAGTGAGCAAGTGAGGCCAAGTAGGCACAAGACCTAGCATCGTACAGAAGCGCTGATGATCACAAGGCGGAAGTGCCTTGGTAAAGATATCAGCAGTGTTGGCCTAAGAGGCCACGTAAGCAAGGCGCAGCTGACCACGCTGCTGCAGCTCACGAGCAAGGAAGTAGCGAAGAGCAATGTGCTTCGTTCTGTGCTCCAGTCTGTGCTCCCGACACAAGGCCAGCATGGCCTTGTTGTCTACGTACAGAACTGGAGGAGAACGAGGCGGCTCTCCTAGGTCAGTCAGCAGGTAGGTGAGCCAGCGTAGCTCCTGTGCAGCCATGGCCCCGGCGTAGATCTCAGCCTCACAGCTGGAGCCGAGAACAGAAGACGAGCGGGTAGACCGCCACGAAACAGAGCCGGAGCCAAGGCTGAAGGTGTAACCCTGTGACGACCGCTGCGTAGCCTGGTCGTCAGCCCAAGAAGCGTCTGCGTGACCTGTGAGGACCACTCGACGTCGCCCTCCAAGCACTAGCCCCATGCCCGACGTACTGCACAAGTAGCGTAACACCCTCTTCGCTGCAGCCATGTGCTCTGGTCGGTGTCTCCCAGGAGCAACATAGCGTGCCAAGATGCTAAGAGGGTATGCTAGGTCAGGTCGAGTGCAGGTCATCAGGTACATGAGGCAGCCAACAAGCTCTGGGTACGGGCCACTCGGCTCTACGGACTCATCCGAAGGCAGAGCTGAGTGCGAGTGGCGAGTAGACAGAGGAGTGGCCTGAGGCGAGGAGTACGTGAAGTCGAAGCGCTGAAGGACCTGCTGCACCATGTGTGACTGAGTCAGGGTAATGGTGCGCTGTGCTCTGTCCCGGGTGATCTGCAAGCCAAGGTAGCTGCGCAGTTCACCCAGGTCTGTGCAGGTGTGTCTCTTCTGCAGCTCGGACTTCACGTCGGCAAGTCCAGCAGTGTCAGCAGTGGCAAAGACCAAGTCGTCGACGTACACGAGGATGTAGAACGGCGGCAAAGAGGTGTCGGTGCGCAGAAACAGCGACGGGTCGGCAGTAGACGGAGCAAACCCAAGAGCCGCAAGTGTAGTCTTCAGTGTGTCGTGCCACTCACGGGGCGCCTGGCGGAGACCGTAGACTGGCCGCCGGAGGCTCCACTGGGTACCAGGAGGAAACGACCCAGTGAAGCCAGGTGGGCGGCGCAGCCAGATCTCCTCGTGCAGGCTCCGCCACAGGAAAGCTGTGCTGAAGTCAAGAGAGTGAAGCTCGTAGTCGCGCTGAGCGGCTATGTGCAGCAGCACCCGAAGAGTGGTCATCTTCGGGGTGGGAGAGAAGGTCTGAAAGTAGTCAACTCCCTGCCGCTGACTGAAGCCTCGAGCCACGTAACGCGCCTTGAAGACAGGCGGAGAACCCGGCGGCCGCTTCACCCTGAAAATCCACATGCCACTGACGATGTTCGCCCCAGGTGGGGGAACCTCGTCGACGTAGGTGCCTGTGGACTTCCATGAAGCCATCTCTGCGTCCATGGCTGACTACCACTGTGAGGAGTAGGGACCCTCGATCGCCTCAGCGTACGATCGAGGAGTCGGGATGTCTGGTGCATCCGGGTCTCCCTCAGGGGCAATCAGCGTGGACACGAGATGAGGCAAAGCAGCAGCAAAACACTGGAACTCCTCCTGCCTGTCCTCAAGGACGTCCGTGCTAAGAGCACACTCACCCCCGACGGACGGAGGACAGACAGACTCAGACTCAGCAACGAGACTAGCGGCGTAGTCTAGACGACAGCGAGCAGCAAAGTCGACAAGCTCAGCAACTAAGGCAGACGCAGCAGTGGACTCAAAGGAAGGGTCAGTGACAACAGTGGCCAGGAGACGCGTGACAGGAGGACTGGCAGCACGAAGAGAGTCAGACTCCGGGTCAGCGAGAACAGGAAGAGAGGACTCTGGAGGAGATGGCAACGGGACACACAGAGGAGCAGTGGAAGGGCGCAGTGCCATCTGGTGTGTGCCTGGGACCGCAGGAGGACGCGGACGCGGAGCACGACCACTAGTGCGAGCAGCACGAACAGGCGACGCAGGACGAGACGCAGGCTCACGACGCTCAGCAAGACCTCCAGTAAGACCAGTGTAGGGAGAAGGAGCAGGTAGGGGGGAGGCGGGCTGTAACTGTGACCGCGACTGGACAGGCTGTGGACACTCTAAGGGAGGAGCAGGACCAGTAGAGGGCGGGAGACCAAGAACCTACTCAAGGAGCGGAACGAAGTACGGCCTCGGCCGCGCAGCGCCTCCAGAACCAGCAGGGACAGCACCAGTACCCCCAGCGGCAGCACCAGCGCCAGCAGCACCTCCAGCTCCAACAGCGCCAACTCCAGCACCCTCAGAAGCACCAGCGCCAGCAGAACCACCAGCGCCAACACCCCCAGCAGCTCCAGCTCCAGCAGCTCCAGCAGCTCCAGCAGCACCAACTCCAGCAGGACCGTCAGCTCCAGTACCGCCAGCAGCTCCAGCAGTACCTCCAGCAGGACTAACGCCAGCAGCCCCAGCAGCACCCCCAGTCCTAGCAGCTCCAGTACCGCCAGTACGAGCACCTCCAGGACTAGCAGCAACAGTAGTACCTCCAGCTCTAGCAGCACGGCTCCAGCGCCGGGCAAACCACTCGCGCAACTCCTGCGGAGAGAGTAGCTCCCGCCTC